ACAGCTCAATGCTGCAATATTTGGAGCAAACGGGCAAAACACAAGTCAATAACTATCTCTGGCCTCACAGTACTCAACTCCTTTATACTCCTGGGCAATCCTGGGTGGAGAGAGGCAAACAAGTTGGGGATATAAAGTGACTTGGCCAAGATCACATTGTATAACCACCTGCTGGATCCAAACCTCTCATCTAATGATTGGCAGCTACAAACCCTAGCCTCCTCCTTTCACAAAGTGTTTCTGGACAAAGTGCATTCAAAATCTTAGGCGGTAATGCCCCAAACACAGATGCCACAGTGTCTGCTAAAAACAAGGAACTGTTTTAATCATGACAAATGCATGTACATGTAACACTGAAGCGCACAATCGAGCGTAGAGGGTGGAGGACATAATGACCGGGGTTTTCTTCTCCTACAGCCGTGTCCAGTTCCACTTACCAGTCCTTTCTGCCTTTGATTCAGTGGCTTTTAAGTTGTCCGTTCTTTCTAAAATTTTGAACTTTACATATTTGGATGAAATCTGTAGCACGATTTAATGAGGTTTTTTACTCTAAACTGTGCACGATTACGTTGCAGACATCAATCGACAGCTCGTCCTTCCAAACAGAAGTGCGCGACCATGATGTACATGTACTTGGTTTCCGGTTTATGTACATTATTCCAATCCATACAATCACTGTGATTGGAAACCACTGATTGACATGATAGTCTTGAATTCAAGGCTGTGTGATTAATGTACTCAGTACGCTAACCGCCTGCAAACATGTAAGGAGCTCGGTGCATGCAGTACACACAAAATCGGGTCACACTCTGGTCGTTTCAACGATCATAAAGGCATACACGTGCAGGCAGCACATGCTGCTTCGCATGCAAGCTCTGCAGCCTTGTTTTAAGCCTCCTACAGGGACAGAGCTACATGTACATGTACAGTTGTGAATGCAATGTGCGACCATCATTGGAGATGCAGAGGTGAAAATAAATGCATTCCCATTTGTGTTTTCTTTTTGGGCCTTTTCTTTTGAGCTACAAGGGAAAAATGGAATTTCGGGGGTCTGTTAAAAAAAAAAAAGAAACTCCGGATAAAACTGAAAAAGTGGCATCTCTGACTAAAGATTGAGCAATACGTGTAACCAGGACCAAATAAAGATACAGCAGAAGAACAAAGACATGTACATGTACATTTACCATGTACATATGTACATTACATTTGATGTACATGTCTGTAGGTTCCACATTACACATTCATATAACATGAAGTCAAAGAACTGTCAGTCATACACAGTTTGTGGTAGCAGGGAAATGTGGTACATTGTACATGCCTGGACCAGTTCACGTACTGGTACCCTGTCGGTGTCATTTGAGATACCTTGTAAGTACTGTACATGTAAATGTATGTAATACACAGTTCTACGGCAAGTAAAAACCAGACAAAAAAAACCACTTTCGTTTTATAATGAATTTGGAAAACGGGAGGGTTCGGGAAGTTTCTGTCTCTACCTGGCTTTTTTCCACAATCACATTTATAACACGTACATTTGCAACTGTACACTGGTTCATCTGATGACACAAAATTGAGAATTGCACTGCACTGTCCTTGGTACAAAAAAAACCCTCCCAGATAAAACGGGCTGCGGCCAGTAAAAAGGGCCGCCTGCTGTCACAGTCGGTTGGTGAATGACAGGTGGAAACAGGCATTTCATCAAATACATGTAAGTGACGATCTGTGGGAGCAAGGTGCAGTTTAATTCACCGCATTTATTCAGCGCTCTACGGACCATTATGACAAGCACGAGGTGATGGCCGGGCTGGGACAAGTAGAATACGTGACTCTGCCATGGAACAAAGGAGCCAACTGGGCTGTCCTGATGGCGGCGGAATATTAATAACGACGGGGGGAAGAAACGACACCATCGTGGGAGAGAGGAAGTGGATGAGAGAGAGCACTCTAGAGATGTGTTTCAGCCGCGGAGTTGCTTTGGGCATGGTAGCCCTGAAGCTTATCAACCACACAGACAATATCAAGAATGCTGTTTCAGTATACCTGGCTGCACACACCAAGTCTGAACATTTACACATTATGCTTCTTGGGCATATTATTGGTTTTTAGAGTGAGTGACAAAGCCAACCGCACGGCCTTTTCAATTCTGGGTTTATGTAATGTGTACATGTGGATGTACACATGTACATGTACGGGTACAGTGCACGATACATGTATGCATCCTGATGTCATGGATGTACGCTGAAAATTGCTTCTTCTTTCCATTCTATTCTTACTTTTGTTAATGAAGCTCCATTACCTCTGTGCTACACAGGAAGGATCTGTGATGCATTATGTACATGTACATCAGTACCGGTACATGTACACGTGTATACATGTACGGTAGGGTGGCAAATTTCTAGGGAAGATTGCAGTTTTTTCAATCAGTTACAACATTTACCGATCCATTTGATCGTCCCTTTCTGATTTACAGTTTTAATGGCTCATTTTTTCCTTGATATCAAGGAAATTGATACAGATGCGTTTGGCTGATTTTGCAATGTTCACTCTGCACACTATCCACTTATACACAAGTAAAGTACTAGATTGGTACAGTATAAAACCGTTAAGTGCATGGAACAATGAGGTTATATACTGGGTAGGTTTAAGAGCTCTTTGGCCAGTCTCTCGCACCATCTGAAAGGATGGTATTTATATCACAGAGTGGTTTTTTCATTAATCAGATAACCCAATAAATGACAAACTGGTCGATTAATCCATTTAGTAACCCTTGCGGGCATCTCACTAGTCATTTCCACAGATATGGTACCATGTTTAGTGGACAGGAGGCAATTTTTCAGTGACCCTTGTGACCATTGCCGAGAAAAGTTCAGCCAAGAGGTCAGCATCTTTTAGTATGATTTTGGTCAAGTTGTGAAAAGCAAAACACAGGGTCTTTTTTTTTTTCCACTGAGCAGAACAGAAGCAGTAGGGTGACCGTTTTGAGACACAAAACCGCAAACCATCTAAACCATAAGAAAATGCATGCACATGTACTCCCGTACATGTAACTTCAAGCTGCATTTTACATATAAAAAAACGTAAAAAACAAAACTCGTCCCATGCAAAATGCACGGACCATGTAAGCCATGGAACGACGAATGGCTCTGCAGGCACATGTAGGTACATGTACGTGTATTGCAAAAATATCCAGAACATAAAATTAAAAAAAAAACTGCAAGGTTTGCTCTGGTCTCTGCCTTCTTGCCTGGCCATGTACATTGTACCATTCTGTGCAAACGTGGCAGTCCAGAAAGTACCGCTATGTGCACAGGTCTGAATTCCATGCAGACTTGTGGCATACATGTACAGAGAGACACTCTTATGCTCCAATTTCTGTTGGGGACAATTCTTCAGATATGTGTATGGCACGAGCAGATACACCCTTGTTTTGGATTTTAATAAAACCCACACAAAAACCACGTCTGTCCGTGCCTAAATGGAAACAATCTTCACCAGTAACATCACCCAATATGCTTTTACAAACAATGACTGAAAACACTGTTTTCCTTTTTTCATATTGGATTGTAAAAATTCATAAACATCAGTCGTTGATACAAAGGCTGCACTGTACCATGGCATTAGCAGTGTTAGTTAATAACACACTTAAACCTGTCCCACAATATGCAATGCCAGTGAGCATACAGACCTTACTTTGAGTAAAAAAAAAACAGCTCTTGACATTTTTTTGAACCCTAACCATGCTGAACCCAATGATGCCCAATGGGCTCTTTCTGTAAGATTTTGTTGATGTTAGAAGTGAACAAAAAGCCTTTTGTTGGATTCTGTAGGGTTCAGGAGGGTGCCCTGAAAAAAAAATTAATGAACATGTTGTTCGGTTTAATTATTGGATTAGGACTCACTTTCCAAAGATTATCAACAAAGATTGAAACCTTTATGCCATCCACTTATAATGACTGGGAGTAAAGGTATATTTAAAACAAAAAATGGTGGGCGTTCCAAAATTTGTAAGCCTGGGAAGAATTGGGGATGTAAACTGGGACTTTAAAATGTGCTTAATGTAACCTGCATGTATAAGGGATTAATGTTCTGGCTTCTTTGTAATGCGTGCATGTGTCAAGGTCAGAGTGACATTTTGTTTGATGTGCTGCCTCTGCTATGTCTCACTTGCAAATCAGACAGGAATTTTTAAGAGTTCTAAATGTTTAATGGATTATTTCTAATTCCATGGTCTAGGCCTTGTCAACTAACCCTTAAAAGGCCCATACATTATACGTCTATGGATTTTTTTTTTACTGTAGGTCTTGTAAATTCTCTTTTGTTTCCCGTTGAGCCCGACTTGAAATTTTGGTGTAATTTTAGGGACTCCTGCCTCTTTCATTTTTATGGTTCTCCCAATTTGTATAGATCTATGAGCAAAAAGGTGATGCCATCTACGGCAGAATGTTCAAAGAGCAAAGTTTGGGTTCAAACTTTGCACAGGTAATCTTGTCTCTTCCTGTGATGACCTTGCGACAACAGCGCCCTCATGCATCAGGAAAAAGCACTGGCATTTTTCAATGAGAGAAACTCCCCCCCCCAAAAAAGCGGCATCACATCGTTTCCACAATGCAATTAAGGCGGGGACAATCAATTGTAAGATGCCAAGGGAAGCCACAAACCGAATCAAAGGGGGACAGGATTTGGATCTATTCACAGAGGGTTTGAGAGACAAATGCTGGCCTCTGAGTGCCTACTTACCAGCCCTTGGTACCGGTAAGAGTCGTAGATGCTCCGCAAGAGCAACCAGAGGGGCCAGAGGTACTCAAAGCGAAACTCCAAGATGAAGTCCAGCAGCAGAACAAACATCCATATTGCTAGGAACTTCAGGTACAAGAAGGTACTGCAGTTATTCAAGCAAAGAAACAAGACAAAAAAAAAACCAAAATGCATGTACATTAGTAGATCATTAAGCTGTTGTAAGTGACCTGTGGCTTTGTCTGTCAGATCTCTGTCAGGTCTGTCAGATGCATTATTCTTAAACAAATTCTATATCAAATTTAGTGGGGCCTCTTCACCAGAATCTACATTAAAATGTCTGGAATGAAGAGCTATTATCAAACATGACTTAATTCAAACTTTGTGAGCCTTTATAACCAGAAAGTTTCTTGAATCCTACAAAATTCTGCATGTTCATGACTACGCAAGAAACCACAGAAATTCTTTGTTTTTTTATTTCCCACACAAAGTTCCAAGGACCCTAAGTACCATGTCCATACATGTACATAACTTGTAAGGTAAAAGTGGCTGGGCGCTACATGTACATTCTAAAATTGTGTACTACATGTATCCATCAACTCCTGCAGGATTTTGTAGGATGAGGGAAGGTCAGGGTTATACATCAGTGGTAAACACTGTGCTAGACACACATAAGATTTCACTTGTTTCAACTGTAAATTGCAAATTATGGAAAGAATGCCACTGATTGCCACTGATTTTTCCCCTGAGCGAGCTACATGTACATTTATTTAGCCAGCGGAAAATACATGTAGAATGTCCTTTTAAGTCAAATTTAGTAAAAAATATTGATGTACATGTATTCACTTAGAAAACACTTAAATTTTTCAGACTAGTCTCATAGGGTTTTGTGCACAGTGTATCAAGTGGCATCCACATACAATACACGTATGGAATTCTTTCCTAAATGACACTAATTTCTTAATCTTAGTTGTTTTATCATATCCTGGCACAATTACTTGAACTGAGACCATCGTGGGCTACCAGTATTTCTGATCATGCTGAACAACGCATCAAAGTTGTAATTTGGTTCATGTACATGTCTGGTACCTGTATGCACGTCATAATAAGTCCTTTACAAATCAACTTTGTCAATATTTACTTGTCATATTGATTTTGTACTCTGGGCCTAAATGTACATATACATGGGGAAAAAAAGGTATGTGCAGCATTATTAGCCTTTTTAATGCAAATCAAACTAAATGAACTCATTCCTGGGGTATCTGTCACTGACCAAATTAATGATATGGACTGATATTGGTATCAATGTATTAATGTAAGCCTATGTACACGTCCATGGAGGAACGGGGCTTCAAAGTACCATGAGGTGCACTGCATGCAGGGCACAGACTGACAAGATTCTCTCCAATAATGCAGTGGAATACAAATCATGTGCATGTTGGCCTGGCTTTAATTAATCCTAACCCCCCAAGGTGAATGTAAAATCATTTGAAATCAGAGAATTTGGGACTGTCACTTTCAGCATGTTAGGCTATGGCAAAGTCCTTATCATAAGGTGCATGAAGGCCTACTGTAAATTTATATTGGTTAGGAAAGTCTTCAACCTGGTGCTATACGGATGTAGGCCTGGCCTACATATGGTGAATTGTTAGTGACACTGTCGTTAACATCATAATAAGTTATTGGTAATAATAGTACCACATGGCTGATTGTACACAATGGTAGAATTGTCGAAAGGCATAGTGGGAAGGAAAAGGGGGCAAATACTGCTCCTTTTTCCTTCCCATAGCACCTCTCTACCATTGTGCAAAATCACTCATGCTGTAGGCCTGTTATAGTATTACCAATAAGGTTTATCAGTTTATACTATAATGATTAGTGTACATATGTCACACTGTCACGACTGTCAACATGTTTGTGACAATATTCTCGGTAAACATAGGCCGATAGGAATCCATAATTCTTATTGAAATTACGAGGAAAAAATAATATGAAGGTCTCTGGCGAACACAGACCATACTTGTGTGTGCAGTTTCACCATGGTTTCACAAACTGTACATCGACAGACGAGTTGTTTTGTGACAGACTGTTGGTTAGTGATTTGATATCCACGGTGCAACTTTTTCTAAGTATGCAACCATACGCACAGACAACGGAAGACTCGGTCCGGATGGTAAATTTTCTGCACGCCTTTCACATTTTTACCCTCAAATCTCACCTGCCGTAGATGCCTTCTGCGATCTTGTTCCGTTTCAGAGGGCGTCTTAGCTTTCCATAATCGACATTTCGCCTCTTCATATTCCCAAGCTCGGCGAACTTATGTTGGAAATACGGCAAAAAAATATTCACGTTGTCTTCTTCTCGCGATAAAAATGTCCGCTTCGGTCTTCCAGTTTCACTCCTGTTGCATTTTTGTCATGTAGTTCATGTATCGCGTATCCACTCTGCCCGTAAGCGCACGCGCAATGACCTTTTGGCCTATTTTTTTATAAATGCCCACATGCGCGTATTTTTGTTGGGGGGGGGCATTTAAATGCAGCTGAAAAACTGTATCAAAAATGCAATGTTGTGGTGTAGCCTCGTTGTTAATGACCTTTAGAAATAGCCGGTGAAAAAATAAACTCAGGGCCTTGAGTGGAATGTTGGTAACGGAAGTTTTGAAAGGAGGTTAATGGAGGGGTGTGGCCAGCGGCACGGCGGTGAGACTACAGAAACCTCAGAATCCTTTATTTTACTTCCGTTGAAAACATTTCTTATCTCATTCACAGGCTGAAGCGGGCTTTTAATCTCATTTAGTTGTCGGGCAAGCAGGTCTTTGATTGTTGTCTGCACTGAATATTTTCAACGGTACCTATCCAAATGTGTCTTGGATGTCACATATCGATACACGTATCTTAATAAAGATTTTTTTCTGTGTTCCCTGCTGACAACTTAATTTCTGCAACGAAATAATTATCGCTGCTTCGCGTTTTGTCCTTGTCAAATGAACTTGTCAAATTTTAACTACTTGTAGTAAAAAAAAAGAACTACTAGAAGAACTACTAGAAGTCAGCTGGAGGCTGACTTCTAGTAGCTTTTTTCCGAATCCTGTAATGACTCCTATTTATCAACATTTCTTTGTAAACAAAACAAAGCACGTGTTAAGTTACAAAAGTGGGTTTTTTTTATTTATTTATTTTTACGGCAAAAGCACCGACTGTACTGGTAAACGTTTCATTCACAATAGAACGTTTGTTTTGTGCCGCTAGGTGGCGCTATACCACAAAACACACAAATTTCTCCCGCGAAGCAGGTATGTCGGACAAAGAAGAAATCGAGTCAGGATCAGTCCTAAAAAGACCAAAATCACTTCCACAAAATGGCAATCAGAATACTGCCTCAGGTGATGAAAATGTAAGTGAAATCATCGGTTGGTTTCCGTCGTTTTGGGAGGGGGTGGTTAATTGTAAATCAGCTTGACACTGCTCGTGTGGTTTGTGCCTACTTTCCGGACGCAAAACGCAAGATGGGTAATGTGTTGAACGCGATCAACTGATCTGTATGATCGCTATGCGCGATTGGTCAATTCTGAGGAAAATCTTCAACTTTAATTCCTTTCTTTAAACCAGTTTTTCGCAACTGTGAATTAGAAAAGAAAAGAAAAGGCGATTGGTTGATGACATGGGATGACAGAAATATCAAAGTCAAATCATGCACTCCCGTGACTTCATCATGATAATCAACTGACATGACTGATCACGCAGAGATCAAGCAATTGTGCATATCAGCCAGTCGCACTCATAAAATTATAGGCCCTACTTCTGAGTACTTGGATCTTATCCTAGGCTTTGATCTTGCATTATTATTGTATGTCTATGCTTTCAGCAGCTACTGATTGCCGCTTTGACGAGAATTTGGTGTTGGACAATCGCAGTTTAGTCTCAAAGTGTCACCAAAAAACACCAGCATGTCATTTCACAGATGGCCTGCGTGAAGCGCCCTCACAGAGGACAGGTCTGTGAGGGAACTCCATGCAGGCTTTCTATTGGCTTAAATGAATTCTAATCAAACTCATTCCCCTTTCATACTGAACCCCCAAATGTTCCAAACCAATACGTGAACTTCTATGATAATATGATAATGATTGTTAATGTTATGATATGGTATGGAATTTCCCTGTTTGCATATCAATTATGTCAAAGAGCATATTTCACGTCAACAGGCCACTTTAAATTTCTTCAAAGTTGTTTTGAATACAAGAGTGGAGTGGTAATTTAACCTAAAACACGTATGGAAATATTCAGCAGTTTGAAAGTAGCATTGTTTGTTATCATTTTGTTCTGTTATTTTCCCAGTCTTTAGAACTCGACGATGGGCAAAGTGAGGCCAGCACCCCGACTGCGGAGAGCAACTCACGCTCCGATACACCTACAGGATCGACCACTGGCAGTTTCAACCGCAAGAGTAACCGCGGCCGGTGGCGCTCCACTAAGAACAAGCTCCAGTACAAGTGTAACGGGTCCCTGAAGGAGGACCACGGCCTACCCATCTTTGGGGTGACCTTCAACCCCTTCTACAAGGAGGGGGACGCCCTGGTCTTTGCCACGGTGGGCAGCAATCGCGTGTCGGTCTACGAGCTGGTAGAGGGTGGGGGAATGAAACTTCTACAGAGCTACATCGATGCTGATGTATCCCTTTGTTGTAAATAATACCAAGTTTATCTTGGAGTTGTACACAGCTGATATTTTGCAGATCATTCAAGTACTTTGTTCAAGCTCACAAATAATTTTAAACTCTTGTTTTTTAAATAAACCCTTATTGGAATACCATGTAATCTTAACCCAAGGCATCAGAGACTTTCTGGAATCTTCTAAAATACTCCACTGAATGTTGAAGAGGTATTAATCAGAACTTGTGGCATGTCTTTGGTACTGTAGAATTCTCCAAAACCTCTGGAGAAAAATCAAGAGAGGTTAGGGTTAAAGAGAAGTTACTGAAACTAAACACCTGAAAATAAACAACTTCAATGAGCATTACAAGGAAGTATAAACTAGATTCCTCGTTCATAAATATTTGCCCTGTTACAGTACACGTGATGGTCTTGGTTTCTGCCCAGAATTCAGATGACCTTGTCTGAGATCAGTTCATTTGGGCCTTGACTTTAAACACTGACCATGGTTGCAGTCTGATGAGAGTTTCTACACCTGCGCCTGGTCCTACGAGGAGAAGACGGGCTTGCCATTGCTCGCTGTGGCAGGGTCGCGAGGAACCATCCGCCTCATCAGCCCGATCACCATGCAGTGTGTTAAGGTAGAGCCTGAATAATTCATAAGAAATGTCAAGAGCTTGGTTGCAGAATGAGGTTTTCTCTGCCAGAGCACTCAAAAAAAATGAACAAAACATTTGAAGAGTTTGCCAAGCTGTTCCTCCTTGAGAGAATACCTCAGAACTTGGAAGAATCCTATGAGAATCCCGCAGGTTCGAAAATTTTGAGGCACTTCTGAGGAATTCAGATTTTCTGCGAGGCCCAATGCTGGACCTGAAAGCGTTTCTACATTTTTTGTTGTCCTTTTCAGCACTACATAGCCCATGGTAACGCAGTCAACGAACTCAAGTTTCATCCCAAGGATTGTAACCTGCTGCTGTCAGTCAGCAAGGGTAAACAGCCTCATTTGACCTTCAGAGGTCGTCTCTTATTTCACTACACAGAGCTTGAAAACCTTTCAAAGGAAATCAAGATTCAAAAAATTGATACAGAAATATCCAATGTGGAAAATACTACAAAAATTGAAAAGATTTTCTTGTAAATTAATGTATGTTTATTACATTCGATGGAAATAGTCTGAAAAATTCAAAACTTCGTAATCCTTCATGTGGGACATTTCTAAGGCATTTTGCCGCATGGTATTCTTTCACAGATCATTCAGTGCGACTGTGGAACATTCAGACGGACAGCCTGGTTATCGTGTTTGGTGGTGTGGAAGGACACAGGGACGAGGTATTAAGTGCGGTAAGCAATTTTTTGTATTTTTGTTTATTCTCCAGAATTATTCTTTATTAATTTTTTACATTTCTGGTGCTGGAAGCCAAGGATCCGTCAAAAAGGCTTGCGACTTGCAAGCCCGAAATAAACCTGCAGACAAGATGGTGAAAGAAGATCTTGATTTAGAGGTGGGAGGAAAACCCAGGCAATCAGGTGGGGACTAAAAAGTCAACTCTTTGATCAAACAAAGCTATCAAATTACTTATAAGCACAAGAAATCAATGCTTTTTCTTTTCTCAGGATTTTGACATTGATGGAACGAAGATGGTGTCATGCGGCATGGACCATTCTCTCAAGATGTGGCACCTGATGACCTCTATGGTCCAGGAAGCCATCAGTAGCTCTTACGAATACAGCGCCAGCAAGACAGACCGGTGAGGCCCACATCTGCCGGTGCCCATAAAGCATAGCATTCAATGGATTCATTACCCCTAATCATTGGGCTTATAAATCATTCCTGAAAAAATATAAATGCCCCAAGAATACTAAGTAAAACTATGTACTTATCATATAATGGTGCTCTGCTGGGCATGTATGGAATGGTTACTGTGCAAATTCTGATGAAAACTGGTCATGCACACAGCATGTGCTTGAATCAGTGCATTGAGTGAAGTGTTGGCCCAGTAGGATGTCAGTCAGAGTAACAAAAGCGCCCTCTCTTGTTTACAAATGGAATCCACAGCCCTAACCCAAATCCATCCTGTCATATTGAGAGATGCAAACAGACACCTGTTGTTTATCTGTCGTTATAACTATGTAAACACTACCATTTGCCCGGGCAGAATGCACCTCAAGTTCGATCTCTTTTGCTCAGACTTGGACTATGGTTATTGCTGAATCGGAACCATCGGCGTAATGAAACAGTGAATTTCTGTTTTGTGTTTCAGTCCATTCAAGACACTTTTCGTCAACACACCCGACTTCTCCACCAGGGACATACATCGCAACTACGTTGACTGTGTACGCTGGTTGGGAGAATTTGTTTTGTCCAAGGTAGTAACACAGCAGCTTCATTGTAAAAGCTTCTTTTCAGGGCATTTCTGCAAGGATCATTCTCAAATTCTCAAAGGCTTCAATTTGCACAGGAAACCAGAGGTACATTCTCTGTACACACTTTTGGAAGTACAACTCAATCTACACTGACTTTATCCAGAGAACAGAACTGTAAACATCTAATAACGAATTGCAGACTTTTGTGGGTAGGGGGATGATATGCACATTGTTGACATGAAACCCTCTCATTTGGCTTTTTCGACGGAATGGACATATTTTTTCTTTCCCTACTGATTTCCACAGTCATGCGAGAACTGCATAGTTTGTTGGAAGCCAGGCTCCCTGTCGGATACCTTAGAGGATCTCAAGCCATCTGACTCCAGGGTCACAGTACTGCACAAGTTTGAGTATGCTCAGTGCGATATCTGGTTCATGCGATTTAGCATGGACTACTCACAAAAGGTACTAAACCACTTTGGGACGGTTCCGTCTCAAAATAATTTCCCCCATTTGGCTGAAAAAAACTCTTATTTTTAAAATGTCAAGATACAACAGTCACTTTTATATACCAAGTGGGACTCAAGTCATGCCCCACAAAGATTTAAGTGGCATTTCTAACCGTGACATTGTCTTTTTCAACCTTTGAAGGTCATGCCACAAAGTGATTTTTGCTACAGCAACCACGTTAGGGCCTAACGCACGGGCAGCCTGCCCTACTAAGACTTATGTGCAATATCAGTTAGAATTGTTAAATTGTGAGGGTACATAGGTCACCCACTACTAGAAATATACCTTAGTAAATGTTTACAAGTTCTCCATGCCACTGTCATGAAATAGTGTCGCAGGTTTATACGTTGCGTTGCGAAGATATTAAGAAATTTTAAGCAGTCAGGACTCGGATACATTACCCAAAGGTCATATTGTACGTAACTGAAACATGGCCATAATATGTGAAGAGTGGCCTCGATCACACACAAATAACAGCACTGTCCATGTTGGAACAAAACATTTCACCCGAACTCCAACTGTGTACTCACAAAGCTTTGCTTAAAGCAGTCATAAACTGTGACAAGCAGTGCTCCAAACTGACCTGATGCCTTCTGTCGTTTCCAGATTTTGGCCCTTGGGAACCAGGTTGGCAAGCTGTACGTGTGGGATCTCGACGTTGAGGACCCGTCCAAGACAAGGTAGAGTATGCACAGTTGGTAGGGGCAACTTGTCAGTTGCTAGAAATAATGTAAATGGTAAGCCAGATGCCGTCAGTGAACTTGTCAGGCTCTTGTAAAAAAAAATGAGCTGTGGCAAGAGTGCCCTCAAGAGTTCAAAGCTGAAAAGTTTGCATTCAGATTTGCAGTTATTTTGGATCGGACATGTGACATAAAAATAACATTGCTTTCGTCCTCGTCATATAGACTTCAGATTATTATTTGATCGGCATATACATATAAGTTGCATGATTAAATCACTCTTAGAAATTAACAGATATGTGTTCGAAAACTTAGAAAATCACATGCCAGATGCTACAGGGAAAAGAAAACGGACCCCAAATTTTCAGAATGACCCATATGCATGTCAACAAGTATCTACAAAATCCTGTCACATTTCGTCACTATTAAGGATGAGGTAACTTGGACAGAATCGAAGGAAGAATGGAGAAGACCAACTTTTGTCATTTGAAGTTTTTTTCCATGTAATACTTTGAAGTTACCTGCGTTGGTCATTTTCCCCAAGTGAATTTGTGCATTTCTTGGATATCCTGTGCAAAAGAAATGATGATTTCAACTTTCAAGAGTGCAAGCATGCCATATTTAAGACTGGAGTCCAAACATTGCAAGAAATATTTGGAGATGTGTGTTCGCTATGAATAGTGACCATCAAGAAATCCATTATCCTACATCACCTCTCCAGCAATCAAATTGTTTTTGGTACCGTTTCTTTTCGAATGTCAGGTGCACAAAGTTGACTCACCCGAAGTGCCTCTCTGCCATCCGACAGACGACCCTGTCCCGAGACGGAACAGTCATAATCAGTGTGTGCGACAACAGCACCGTCTGGAGATGGGACAGAATTCGCTGACGAGTATCCCTGGCAACTGAGAACATGTATCTCAGTGGAGGTCTAGAGGCCAGCGCTTGTTAACACAAAAACTTCATTCCTGCATCATTTAAGTGGTTGCAAGATCAAACATGTGCGAGCTCACCAACTCCGGAGCTAGCATGCATTTGGATTGGCATTTTTAAGTCCAGTTGATAGGGTGTACAAATCTTGCCCAGGAAAGCAAGGAAGATTTTGACAGGGCCACAAGCAGCCAGTTAGTCTGTTAATCCAAATCACGAACAGTAGACAAATGTGTTATAGGTGGGGGTGCACTACTTCTCAAACTCTGGCTAGTTCATCACTTTTTGCTAAGCTCTTGGATAATGTATTATACACAACAGTTTTTACTGGGTTATTTTTGGAGTTGACTTTTTAAATAAAGATAAAAAAGTACTTGTTTTTGTCTACGCCGTCTTTTTTGTATATCCTGCCCAACTTACTGCTTACATACAATGTTAGAAAGTAAGAAACTGGCCAATTTCTTTCCAATAAAAACGTAGGTCCACAGACCAAACACAGTGCAAGTGTAATTCATGTTACTGAAAGCAAGCCCATGGTGGCAACAAAGCCGAGATTCCCAAAACCCCTTTGAGTGCCACTGCTGTTACATGTATACATGATAAGGTACTTTACTCTGCCAAGACATGCATAGTTTGTGCATATTCCGATGAAAAGTTGAGCATTCTAACTGCTGTGCATGTATTAATCAGTGCCGCATGTCTTTTGTACGGGTAATCATCTACTGTATGGAAGTTGCACAGTGCCACTACAAGAAAAGTAAGCCCCTTGCTTCAACACGCCTTATTTCACTTGAAAAAGTGTAACAAAATGGTCGGTGGTGGCACGACTCTCTACAGATGAGATGAGACGAATCTACAAAGACATCATTGCAGCCACACAATGAACTGTTGAAAATCGACAATAATGTCGCTTGTCTGCTTTACGAAACAAGCCTCCAATATCAAACCTATTCAAATTGCCACTACTGCAGGAGGGAGGTGACAACGCGGTTAACAGATTGGCAATATAACAATTTCTGATGAATTTTATTTCAAAACTCTGAAATTGAACCCAAACTATTCTAATGATGAGGCGGATATCACTCGTGCTTACAATATTGACTGCAAAAAAAGAGACATACATTGATTAAATAAAATAATGCTGCTTTGTATTTACAAAGACTACTCATTTCCATAAATCTCGAACTAACTTGTGGCACTTTGTGCTTCTCTATCATCTTTGCCAACGTTTGGGCGTGCATTCAATCTGAGCCTTTAAATGTGCTGTCTCAAGTAAAGTCTGATTGTTAATTAACTCGCCCCAAAATTTGTTACAAATCTGTGTCACATTTAAATTCAAGAAACTTACTGTTTATAAGAACAGTTGACTCTCGTTATAAAGTTGCAGGGAACAGACAAATTGCTTTGTTGTAACCAAAGATCATATTGTGCTGCGCAGCGGCGCAAGATGGCGAACTTCATCGTGAATACACGTAAAACGTTGTAGTCGCATGGGCGCCATTTGAGCAAGCGATACGCCTGCGCATTGCACATTAATGCGCAGGCGCTGCGGCAGGCACGTCCACATGGTGAGCCTGCGCCGAAGCATTACCGTAAACTGCGCAAGCATATCTCTTGCTCAAATGGCGCCCGTGGTAATTACACCTTTTGGGCAGAGTTATCCATCTTACGCCTTCGGTACTATACAATCTTTAGTTTTAACCAGGACTCTGTTATAAAGAGAGTGGAGAAATAAAGAAAACAGCAGAATTTAAGAAGTCGGGATTCTGGAAATCCGTTCTTGTTACCGTATTTGGTTATAACCGTGAGCTTTATAATGAGAGTCAACTGTATTCATAAATATTTCATGAAGTTTAGCCACTCTTATTGGTCCAGAGCCCATCACATGACCAGTCTTTAAACAGTTGATAAAGCACTGGTTGGCCATGAGTCACTTGGCGCATACTTTTGAAGACCACTCGCGAGAGGAACATACCATAACATGGCCGTTGTTCGAACAAGAAAAAGAGTAAAACTGTTGAACAAAATCACTGACGTTTATAAATCTCCAAAATTTGCTTTGACTCGGTGACTCAAAAGGTATTTATGAATGGGAATAAATGTGTGCTTGGCTGACCTGGACCACTTGTTGACTGGATCACGAGATGGGACAAGCACATATTTCCTTAATAACCGAATGAGCCAAATGCATTTGTGAAACAAAAACAGGAAAGAAAACCAAAACAGAAATCAGAGGAAATAATGCATATATGTTTGTTGAAATTAAATAACACATTGAACTGTTTATAGTATTGTACACTAACCAAATTTTGCCCTCAAATGATCGTTACCTTGAATCAAAAATACACTCTACACTTTAAGAACATTTTAACAATTACACATCTATTCCAATCTACAGGTCATTCTGGGTTGTCCTCTTCCAACTGCTGTATGTACCAGGCCTGCAGTTTTGACTGGATATTCTTCCCATTTAGTCTACATCTACACAAATTGCAAACATTGAAATGTTTCCTGCCGTGATGAAGTGTCAAGACAGCAAAGGTTGACAAAAATAGCACATCCTTTCCCCATGTACGAAGGACATAAAACGTTCTTTTGTCAGTTTCAACAGCGGAGACAAAACTGGAGAAATGATTCTTGTTCCATCGTTGAATAGGACACAAATATTAACACTTCTATGGCTTACCTGCAGAAGTGGTTCGTGTCGTGTATCTTTACAGTTGCATGCAGGGGAAGAGGTTGAGGAACTTTTCAGAAGCTAATACAAAAGTTTTCTCAAGCTTTCTCTATTTAAGGTTAAATGTAAAAAAAAAAATACTATTTCCCTCAGGGTTCTGGCAATGCTTTTATCTTAATAGGCCACTGCTTTTATAAAAGCAAGGCAGCAGCAATTGGAATTCCACAGACAATCACGGTAATAAGTGATCCGCGGGTAGTGTGTAAGAAAAATACATTCTTCCCCTACCAATGTATAGATTTTTTGTCAGAAAAAGAAGTGACCATAAACAGGCCGATGAAAATTTGACTGGATCCCTAAGCGGCGACTCATTTCAATACAAGAAATCTAGTTGGATAATCCACAAAACGTCCATGATTATTAACTAATTTGGCACAGCTCCAACAAACATGGACGCTCTTCAACTGAAACCCAAAACAGAAAATAACTCAGAAACAAGACGTCAACATGTAACCAATTTCTGTACATTGCAGAATGGCTTTTTTGTTTGTTTTTTTGCAAGGGAGTTTTGTGTCTGCAAGTTTTCAAGAATGTAATTTGCAAAACCATGACAGAGAACAAAATATCTAGGTCATGTTTGATCCCTACAGTTCAATGGCATGGCTGCAAAGGCAGTTTTAACAATGCTTTGTTATTGAAGAGGGGTCAAATGTACTACCCAATGTTGTGGGGGGAGGGGTAACCCTTAGTATGGACACTGTGAATGCTATGGCAGAGCAAAATAGGTAACAGTCACCAGACAAAACAGGGTGGCGTAAGTTGTATTGTTAACCCTAACCCACTAGAGCCGTTTTGCTAAGACATATCCTCCAAAATCCTCCCAAATCCTCCAGTGGCTCTAGTCCAAAAATTGCATTCATCCTCAATCCTCCGAAATCCTCAAATCTTTGCACTTGCGCTCAAAATAAGAGGTACCCAGCTCTTCAAATGTTTCAAAATCCTACGGCAATAAGCTATTTGCGAGTTAAATTTGAATAAAATCTGGTACATCGAGTTCTTTAAATCCATGTGAACATAACAATTTGAATTCTCCATACTAAAACACCCCCCGAAGGATTTTGGAGGATTGGGAAGGGTTAGGGTTAATATTCAGACAAGGCTGCCCTTTTTTTTACAAAGACTTGTGTGCAAAGCCAAGATGGTTCATTTTGTGGCATGCTTGCCAGGTGCCAAATTATAAGACACTGTTCTTTTAATCAAACACATTCCAAGGGCATGGATATCTTTCAGGGATTTTTCATCATGGCCAATGTATCGTACAGCAAAGCTGGCATTTATAAGAACATACTTGAGAGCACTTGGTGTACGGAAAACGTATCAAGTGAAGAGCTGGCGTTATTTTTCATGCTACTTGAGTCTACGTCAGCCCCACAATCCTTCATGAGAGAGGGAACCCATAAACATTGGCCATCTTTAAAAAAAAGACTGCATGCCCACCAGAGGCAATGCAAAGGCTGGGACTTCAATGGATATGTCTTCCGGTGGAGCATTCAAGAAACAAATTCTCAATTTACAAATCTTACAGCACCCCGCCTGAGCCAAAGGACCCGTCTTCAAACCTGTGTTAACAAAAAAGAAGTCATGAAAAAAACTGTTAAACATTTGTGCTTACCGTTGGCTTGTAGCTAGTAAACAGTTATTTCAAGATGTACATTGTGTCGGGAAAAAAGTTTACATCTTGAAATACTTTGCGGTACCCGCTGCTAAATCTGACTCCTGCTAAATCTGACTCGGATTTGCAAACTGTCCTGAGAGAAATTGGTGGTCAAGTGGTTAAGGCATCGGCATTAGTAAGCAGGAGGTTGTTGGTTCGAGTCCCACTCAAGTAAGCTTGTGAATTTTTTGCAAACTCTCAGACAAACACCGAGTATACAGCATTACAACTGTATGTTTGTAAGGGCAAACTTTATCAAAATTAAACATAGTCACGTGATGGTAAATTTCTGCCTCTGCCAGGAGCATTAGACTGGTTTATTTCAATTTGCAATTATTGAGTGTCTTCGAGAGTTTTTTGGACTGTGAAATATTACTCTCAGGCTCTTACTTAAAAGTTTTACTCTTTTTTTTCACTCATGCCTCATTTAACCAGTCAGAGGATGCGTAAACCAATGCTAGGACAGTTCCACAAGGAATGTGTGGACACGTTCTGGTAATGGACAATCACAGCGGCTGGGGACGCTGTAATGTCAAAATCTCTCATTCAATTTGTATATACACACAACATGTATAGATCCCTCTCATAGGACGCCATCTGCGCATGCAATGCCATCAGGCGTGCTTGAGCCCAGTGTATAAATGTTCTATACATGCGCGCTGATCCAGATATCTTCAAAATTCAAATAAGGTCTGGCCGATGCACATCATGAAACTTTGAAGTCCAAATGCCGATGCACGTGGCAATCTGCAGGAAGTGGCGTCATTTGAAGGAGACCTACCTGGCCGTTGTGCACAGCCTGCATTATCCGCCCTGAGTTCAAGTGCGCCCTCACCAGCGGAAGAAAGACAGGTTGGTGAGAAGTTTTCCAGCCGGGTTTTGCGAGTGTTCGATGCACACAGGAAGACCATAAATTCCAGTGTAAATTTGTCACACGTACTCAGCGTGCTCCGCGCCAAATGCGCACAAACTTGCAGTTCGTGCAAGAGGACTATCATGTTCATTTCATAACACACCCTCTTTTGTTCCCGCTCCGAGCAAATATAGTTCCATGGCAATGCCTCCGAGTGCTGCACAAACGGACTTGAGGTCAGAAATGTACAAATCTTGAACAAGTGATTGTGGGGGCCACCGTTTGTAAATTCCAACGGAGTTAAGTGCCGTTACTGTTGTTTCTTCTCATTCAAAAAGTGGACAGTTTCAGCTGAAATACAATCCAATGTCTGGGGCCAGTTTGAGGTATCATAACCATAGTGACGAGTGCCTAAGTTGGCCAGGGTTCGAATGTAACAGAGGAAGTAGGAGCAATCACTCACCCTTTCGATATCTTTGAACTGGATATCGTCATCATCCTCGTTCGGTCCGAGGGTCGTGGCGTCATTGATCTTGTATGACTCGGGCAGCTCGCCAAAGTCCTTGAGGTTGCGGGCTTCGTCTGCGTTGTACTTGAGGATGACGTCGGCCTTGTCGTCTTGGTAATCTCGCAAGCCCAGCAGGATGATGTCGCCTGTGTTTATCCAAACCTGCAAGGGACAATTTAAGTGGAAATACAGAAACTGCGTTGGCGTCTTATTTCCTGTGAACCGTCTCACCCTACTACTTAAACTTCCGAGTACTTACAGCGCTTAACTAGGCACAGATAAGACAACATATCTGAGTTGTGGTCAAGTTAATGACAAATCTCTGCAAGTCCATTAAAAGATATTGTTAGGCAAAGAAAACTTCTGCTTCAAAAAAAGCCGGTTACCGATCAAGATGACATGTCTTCGGTATCTCTTGTGACTGGTACACAGACATGACAGAACTTCGCCAACTCTGCAGGACCAGGAGTAAGCCCAAGTGACATACGGTAGTCAATGCCTTTTCTCCTCCCCATAAAACTGAAAGCAAGCTGATTCTGTATGGTAGGTCGTTATTCATTAATGGCGATGATTCAATTTTATTAGTGCATTGTCTGGCTTGCTTAGGTTACCTTTTTGCGAAGCTTTCCTCGAATGTGGCATAATCTTTCCACGCCGTCGAGGCAGTGTGCGGTCAATCTGCCATTTCCCAACATCTTCAGAACCTGTGCATACTCTGCAATGAGAAGGAAGTAAGAGATTATCCCTAGGCCCAAGACCTGACCCTTCTGGCTTGGGCTTGGATGCATCCTTAATCCTTCAAAATCCAACTGCCCCCATGGAAAAATTGGATACAGTCTCAATCCTAGATTTTTTCTTGAATATGTTCCTTGGAGGGGAACCCACAGCCTCAATCCTCCAAAATCCTCCAATATTTCTTGACTATGCTTCTTTGAGAGGTGACCACTGCCTCAATCCTTAAAAATCCTCTGGCAATTCCTGTCATTATGTTGAGGTAATGTGAACAGTATCCGTGAGCAATATGGAAGGTTTCACATGTGATGTAGGCACGAGTTTATGCATGACTGAGCTGAAACAAGACAAGGTCTAACCCACAACCTTGAGGCAATATATCCTTTGCAATCGACCAGACTTTCCTGCCATTCAGGCTCAAAACTCCAAAATCCTCCAAAATGGCCCGGAGGATTTTAGAGGACAGAGGAGGGGTTAGGATTGACACGACTGATACAGCATCACGCACATTAACAAAATAATTCAAACGATCTCAGATTTTTAGAGGAATTAAATTCCTTCTTCAAACAATGCTGGAATTTCTTGGGTCATTACCTTGTCCGTCCTCTTTGAAGACCAGTTCTCTCTTCTCCGATTCATTCTCGTTCTTTCCTCTCCTCCGGTTTTTACCTCCCTTTCCTACACAACACACACACACAAATAAATAAATAAACAAGCCGATAAACATTTACACGTATACAAAAATACCCAAGTCAAAGTGGACATGAAGCTGGAGTCCTAAGATAGACTCATGTGTGATTTTGAGTCGCAGTCAACACGACAAGTACATGTTATTTTGACACAATGTTGTGACGATGCCATCCAATCTGACATGTCTGCATGGTCTAGGCTGGGGAATTTCAAGATGTATTTGTATCATATCATATAAATCTTCAGACTTCTTCATTAGTAGGCCTAATTACACACAGTTATTGGGCCTAATGTTAGTGCCCCACACGCCACTTGATTAAGCAAAGGATGCATGGGAGATTTGTCATGTTTGTAATTTCTACAGTCCTGAACTGTCGGTTTGCAGACTGTCCAAGCCTTGATCATGGTCTAGATGAAGTCACTACACTGGCTTTGATCAATCACAGAGCAAGAAAACAGACGTTTAAGATTTACTAATCAACAAGACTGAGTAAGATATAGGCCTACAAACAATACAATTACAATACAAAGACAAAATGACAAAGAGTGCATCACTGCACCATGCATGGTTTAGCATGCAACAGCAAGGTTGGTCGGAGCAGGTCGTGCCAATTTTGGAGAACTCTCTTACCTTTATTTTTCGGCATTTTTCAGTTAACCAAACACCCCAGTCAAGCTTTCTCGAATATGGGCTGAAACCTTAACTCTGTTGACAACTTATTGTTGATATTACTTATAATTGCGCAAAAAAAATCGTAATTTCACAACGCGTGCATATGCTCACATGTGCACCAGGTTCTGAACAGCGCAGTTCCGCAATATGTTGCATACCACTGGTAGCCTGTTAATGTGTGATCAGCGTTGCACTATGCGGTACCAGCGAAAGACTTCATAGTATCGATTAGAAGTAGCTGACGAGAATCGCAATAATAAAATCGCGGGAAAGGTAAGACAGAAAGAGTTAGCAGTGTACGCCTACGCATATAGGGCGGAGAGATGAGTGGGGGGGGGCAAGGTTCCGGTAAGAACCCACTCGGCTCCCGCTGGTGCATGCCTCATGACGACATCAAATCGTTAGAAAATGAGCCTTTTGGGGGTCACAACTTAACTGCAACACTCGCGGATGGCTGTCACTGAAAGTTTCTTTCCCCACTTCAGCCTTTTGTAGTTTATTCTGTTCTTTCTAAATTCTAATATGTAATAAGCAATGGTTTGTATTTTTGTCAAGATAATTTAATTAGTTTGATAATTTCTATTTGATTTTAGACAAGAGTTGACCAAATTACGTTCCCCCTAAACCTGAACAATACTGCAAAACAATCTAAGCCACTTCACAGAACATCAGTAGATGTCATAGATGTTGCTCGGTAGCTCGCCTGCAGTGATAGCTGTCACGGGCGTCGTAAACAGGCGAGGTGAACAAAGAGCACGTCTCCGATAAATGGAAACAAAAGGGAAAAAAGATAATAAGGGAAAGAAAGAAAACGAAAACCGCCGATCTCAGTTTGAAAATTCCTCCATGTCAGGCTTTATTTTGTATACCCCAAACCCTTCTAGCATCAATAACTTTGATTATTTTAGAGGATTTCTAGGAGAAAAAAAAATGAAAAGTTCCAGAGAAATTGAGTGAGGATAATCAGGTGCGTTAATCCCGGGAGGGTGGTGGTATATGTCCCCCACTTTTGATCGGGGTGATTTGTAGTGAGAAAAAAACATGAAGGCGGACTTTTTTCGGACTTCCCAACAATGAATTCAATAGCCTACTGAAGAAGCGACAAAAAAACTGTGAATACGCTGTAAAGTTTGATGTAAGTTTCAGGGATGTACCGGTATCATCAGAGGTGCGCACAAGTAACGCCCCCTACGGTCATTTGGTGTCAGCATTCCCCAACCCACTATTCAAATTTCCATGGCTGGGCAATTGTTTTGATCTACGTCATCCATTTTCCCCGTACCCCAGTCCCCGGCGCAGATTTACGTCTCTGACAATGATATTGAAGTTTGTATGGTCCCGTACATTTCAACGAGGCGTTAATGGTTTTGGCCGCTAGGCCATTATTCTGCGCGCATTTGCGTATAAGCAGGCCCTATGAAGTTCAGGAGAAATGCCCACACCTGGTTGCTACATGCATGGAAGTGAATTTGAAGGTGAGTGACAGACGATAATGACTTATTGTTCTAAAAGGGGTGCACATTTGGATGGGCTTAACAGAGTGAAGTCACACCAGAATTTTTAAGTCTGCACGGTGTTGCATTTTCCGATTTAAAGCCTGGTTTATATGGTCACCACACTGTGTGTAAACTGTCACTAACAAGACAGGTACATGTATATGAGATGTGGAGGGGTCGAAAATTCTATTGATCATTGGTAACGTCATTATGGATTTCAATTCCATGATATAATAACGGTAAGCTTATGAAATTATCTATATTTTTGAAAATATATTGAGGAATTTTTAATTAATCTACCAAAATTTAAAGGGGACAAAATTATAAATCTGAAGCCTCTTTATTCACCAACAAATATGTTCACTGGCCTCAATTTTATTAAACTATAGATCAACAAGTCTTCTTGATATATTTCAAGCGCACATTATGTGTAATGCCCCTGGCAACCAGAAAGTGCCGGAGATTATCAACCTAATGGCACCTCTTGTTCTGTCGTACACCACGCGTTCAACTCTACCAGTTGGCACAGAATTTGTTTAAATCTCCCTTTGCGGGTTAAGCATGCGTTAGCCACACTGCACTTTGACCCGAGATCGATGTACATGTAATACTGGCGTAACACCGTTCTTAGCGGGAGGGTATAGCCTTTGTAAAGAGCAACAGCACATGCATGTATGAACCTGACTCAACGGCACCGCTCAGGACGTCTTGGAACCAGGAATACCTGAGATGTCGAACAAAATTTACAGGAATAGGTAAACGGTTTTTACGAAGACAGGAAGTCCAGTTAATCATCATCAACAAAAGAGCCTTTCTTGTCCAGAGCTGTGACATTCATCGTCTGTGGGACACCACCCCACGGAGGTATGTTATTGACTTTCAACGTCAGAGTGAGTGGTTGTGCAAGGCGCCTCATGCTGTCGACAACGTGAATGTTGTACTTTATCTGGCACTCCGGCGGCAGGGTCTCTTTGCCGTCGTTTCAAGACGAACACGAGAACAAATAAGACCAGCGATGCTACAAAGATGGCACCAGCTGATAGGAAGGTTGCGGTATAGTTGCCGGTCGCATCGTAGAGTTTACCTGAGAGCAATGAGGGGGAACAGGAAGTCAAAACCTCTAGCGTGTCTGAGTCAGTCAAATAATCGAAATCCCCCTGGTTTTGGGAAGATTCGTGGGAATAAAACCCAGTCATATATACGTATATTACTTTTGTGGAGGCTGGACGAAAGAACGAACAGCACAACCAAAGCGTGAGCAGGAACAAAGACAGGGATTTGGGAAATGGCCTCTGCTTCAACCCATCTGCATCCAGATCCTTCAAAATCCACCCGGAAGCGTGGGAGGATTTTGCAGGATCGAGGACGCAAAAGCCCGTTTACTGTCAGGCTTTTCCTGAAGCACGTTACTCCTTACCTGTACCAGTTAAAAAATCCCAAGGATGTGCAGTTGGTTTACGGCCCAGTGTTTCGTTTGGAAGATTTACAGCAATAGGCCTATGAGAAACCTCTGGTTTTGAAGAAAACGTTCGCGATGGAAGCTTACCTGCAACTAACGAGCCGGTCCCAAGAGCGATGAAGAACACCGCAAACAACCAGCTCAAAGCTGATGGAATTTGTGCTTCGCAGACTAGGCTCTTGACGATGACAATGATGAGAGGCGCTCCGATTCCCGTGAAAGCGCCTAGCAGAACTGAGCAGCTGACAAGAAAGCCGTAACCGTCCGATACCGGATTCAGGAAGGTCGCCAGTGCAGAACCTGCAATGCAACCGAACTGGAGCTGGAAACTGCCGATGTATCCTCTATCCACGAACCAGCCGTGTGTCATCCTTGTGAGAATGCCAAAGACAGCGAAGACGGTCAGTAGCATGGCGCCTTGGTCTTCAGACCAGCCAGCTTCTTTGGCCCGCGATGGAAGGTGATTCGCATTGATAATCCACGCCATAGCAAAGAAGAAGGCTCCTACTAAACTCATCACATACAGGGCGTTAGTAAAAAGTTTAATGACGGTGACGAAATTCTCATGGAAGCCACTCGAGTGATGTGTTTCCACAGTTCTCTCAGTATCCATCACTTCCATCTCAAGGTTTGTAAGCCGACGTGTGCTGGGCTTGGCTTTCAGGGGCCGAAAGAGGGCGCTCGCTACAACTGAATTCATTTGAATGGCTCCAACGATGAACATGGCGCCTTGCCATCCAAAGTTGGCGATCAGGACGCGGAATAGCGGAGGGAAAGCCATCTGACCAACATTGACACCAAGAATGCCTAAACCGTTGGCCAAAGCGTAGCGTTTCTTGAAGTACTGTGTAAGCACAACGTTCACAGGTGTCACAGTCATCGACAAGCCTACACCTATTGAAGGTCCAATGAAAATAATAATTAGACAACAATTATTCGAGGAGACAAATGTTGATATGGGAAAGTTTGGTTCACTTGATACAGAGTGCAAAGCCCCAGGGTCGAGAATCTCGCGAAAGAGCCAACCGATCTTGCATTGTCTTCTTGTAAGTAACACGCGCGATTGTCAGTGGCTACTCTACTTACACGTCATATCTCTCTACACTAATGCTGGGGTAAGTTCGAGCGACGACCTTTTTGATCACTTCAGCTGATTTTTCTCTGGTAACGTAGACGCAAAACGTGACACGGGTACCAGGAAAATCAGCCTGTGGTTGAATATAGTTGTTGCTTGAACTGCCCTAAGCTTTCCCATACCTGACAATACGCTGCAAAGGTACAGCTGCCACATCTCTTTAGATAACGATCCCAGAATGGTCGACAGTGCAGTCAACATGCCACCGACCATGGCCACTCGACGGATGCCAAGACGTGGGGACAGAGCACCAACGATGGGACCTGGAATGTGGTGCAGAATATTTGAAAGATTTTGATCGATAATCAGGTGAAAACCCGTTGGTGCACATATACAAGGTTTGTTCGCAAGTGGGGCGTCACCAAGACACCAAAGGCTTCATGTAAGCTAAGCCGCCTGTTGAAAAAATTCTACTGGATTTGCTCCTGAAATCCTGAAACAAAGAGCGCTTGTGACTACCAATATCTATCAGAACATTTTGGGGACGAAACAAGGAAATTATGAAACTTCCACCATGAAGTGAATTACTAATCAAATAATAGCTCGAGAAAATTAAATTACTCTCGTATTGAATGGCTGGGCTACGGATACGAAGTAAAATGTGGTGTAGTGTTCAATGAGTTGACAAAGGTATATCGGCTGAATGAGCTACACGACTATCTACATGTATCAAGACTTGGTGAGGCATCCTGTAGCCAAGTCGCCCGTTAACAGACACAATGCTCATCACTCATCATTTTACTGTTTCTCCACTGACCAATGTGGTGGATTAATTTTTTTCACCTCGTAAGTGCTGCTTGAACTCTATCAACACTAGCCACTATGAACAGCACAAGCCCTAACGATCTAAACAAAATCTATTCCTGCATTTAACTTTTGGGTTCATGTTGATTTTTTGGTCTTTACACTGTAGGTCTTTCCTATTTTGTCATGAAAGTCATGCTGCCACCCCAGTCCACTCTCACCAAGTTCGTCACCTTGATGCCACAACATAAACCTGCACGGATCTGGTTTTACAAGAGGGTTTGCATGGCTGCCATCTTGTAGGCCAGTGCTTTTGTTCCACAGGGTATGCAGAGAAGAGGTTTCAGTCTGGAACAAAACAACTGCCCTGCAAGATGGCTATCACGCAAAGCCTCTATATTAGCTGATTTACTCACTACAGGGGGAAGAGACTAGCCAAGGTAGACTAAGGAGCCAGCTACTGGCTGTTGCCGTGGCGTCGAAGTACTCCTTCCATTCGATGTACAAAACACCGAGAGCGCTCAGATAGCCGGTAGTTAGCAATTGGGCTAAGTGTGAACCCAAGCACACTATCCACGCCCAACCGCGGTCGACTCCTGCCTCGGCGGGTGGATCCTCCGCGTTCGAAGTCCCAGAAGGCCTGCTATACGACCTCCGTTTTAACGCCATCGTTTGACCAGATGATCAGGGGCTTCAAACTGACTGTAAAGATGTACAGGGATGCATAGGGTCTATGAATTCGGCACAGTATGAGATGCTTCTCAGACAGTTGTTATAGTGTAGCACGGGCGATATTCTTCAAAAATTGCCCACTCTCTTGCATTAGGTATAGATTATGATCGTCAGCTAACTTATTAGAACTCTTTCTGGTTATAATCGCCTGCACTCCAGTCGTATCTCAATTAACGCCGGAACCTTAGGGCAGACTTTTCAGGCACTCTTGGGAATTGCCTACATGTGATTTGGTTCAATATCCAAACTCATTCAGTAAAACTTCCGATTTTAGAGTTGTTGGAATGGTGTGCATGATAAGAAGATACCCGGACTGCCTAACGTGCAACGCAGGGCAGAGTCGGACTAAAATAAAATGTTTGCGTCAAACGCACCTGTTACATTTTCCTTGTTATTCACACTTAATTGATTACTTCTCGATATATGAGTTTGACTGGGATAGAAATGTCAACATAATACACGCTTAGTAAGGATCAGTTCAGTTAAGAAACATCACTGTGTGAGCGGTTCCTAAAACAGTCGTTGGATAAAATGCAAGCTTTTACATTACCTTTGTATTCGGCAAGGTAAGATGGTGGCTTCAATGACCTCTGCAGGCTGTTTAGTGATGACGGGTCCAGATCTCTTTAGTCATGTATGACGTCCCTGAGTATCAAACATAGCAAAACTGTTGCTTGGCCGAACACTACAGACCCAAAGCCACAACCTAACCATGGTGACGGTGCATCTGCAGGTCTGGCCAGCAGTAGGCCTAATATGCTTTCTGTACTGATGACGCTGCATTTTTCATTGGGTGCTTTATTATGGTGTTCGATTGACGGTAAACCCCCCGTTTAGCACACAAGGATTACAACATTTACTGACTCACCTTCCTCATTTTCCCACACGCAACACGATGATGTTGACCTGTCCACTGCTCTTCTGTCAGTTTGTTTTTTCACAGTGATCGCCACTAAACCACAGCGGTCGCCAATAAGCTTCAACGAGTTTCCTTTTATTTCCTAAACAATGTTATTAGCAGTTATTGGCCGACCTCATTTTACACCAGGACTTATTTCCTCTTAGGTTTTCCTTCATTGCACTTCGCAAATTATTCTTTTGTGAATGAGACGAAACTGAGAAAAGCCCGTGACGTATATGGGTCAAAAACGTTCGGCACTGCACAAAGCTTAACTTGCATAAAAACATTTAAGTATCATGTTGTGAACTTCCTCTTCAATTTACGGAACGAAGGCAAAAAATCAAGTCGAAAAAGGCCCTACGGTTTGCCATGAATTCAACCGCTAACACCTGTATGGGCCTATTTTGTGCCCATGTGCAGCGCACAAGGCGACGACAGGAATTCCCGCAGAGTAGAACGACCGCCAGTATACTGACGTCCCGGCATTCTGAGTGCTCTGTGTTCATGCACACTATACTTACTGACGAACACGCACGAGACACAAGCAATCGTCACAGAAAATTTACACGCATGGCACAGTGCCAAGGTGTGTACACGTGGCACTCGTGGGTTGTGTACAACAGTAGGAAAATGTAGAGGGCTTCTTCGATTACGTGACCGCGTCTCCGGACCAAAAATATTTGCAAACAAGTTACATCTATAGCCATAACACAGGAAATACATGTACACTCTGAGTTTCACCACACGGGAACACGTACGGTTACACAACAAACACCGTGACAGCGACGAGCACTTTAGCAGCGCATACATGTACAGTGTACATACCTCTGTGGTCACGTCCCACGGTTGCCTTTATAAATTAAACATGTACAACTTAATCCTCTCCGGCATAAATCAGAGCGAGCACGGAGCAATTAATGCTCTGTGTTAAAGAATGGAGTAACCCTTTCCTTCCTCCATGGTTAATGATAGACTCTGTGCAGTGTACATTATGCGTATGCTGTAAGCCCCATTGACAGTGGCTGGAAAAATGTGAACTAAAATTTGTGCGTGGTACTTCGGCTGTTGAGGACATTAATCGCATCAATAAATATTTGAACCCGTGTGTTTATTCATATCTGCGCGGACAAACGACGACGGATGACCAAGGTTGAGCCCGGCTCAGTGGCGCAGTGTAGAGGTCAGTGAGTGGCTCCGGCCAGGACGGTATACTTGACCTCTCCCAGCCTACGCTGGCCTGATACGAAGCGGATTGCAGAGGAAATCGACTGCAGGGCACGTTCATGTACGTGTACATGTACATGTACATGTACATTTTGCGTGCACTGTAGTTGATGCAACTCAAGTCGACTCACGAAGCTCTTCCACAATCAGCCATCCCTTCACTCTGTACAGTACATGTACACGGTCGTCGCACTCGGCTGCTCGCGTAATTCTTATGACTTGAACTAAAATTGGTTGCAGGCCAGCATATAGGCCGAAAATTGCTTGCGTGGGCCAAATCACAGTTTGTATGCACTACAAATTCTCTACGAAATGTAGCATTTTGTGGCCCATGAACTTGAAGATTTGTAGAAAATAATGATTTAAGCGGGCAAAGAGATTTGGAAGAAATCGGTGCCTGAAAACGGCTATTTTTCGAGAAGTGTGGGCATCGATATTTCAAAATGGCGAGGGTATTCACAACTGCATTGTAGAGGTGACCGTCCGTGTAAATAATTCTTCAAAGGTCATCGGTTAATGAATGGAAATTTGAAAAGAAAATGAAAAATCATTAAGTGACCGCGAGGTTATCACTTCCTGTTAGCAAAGCGTTTTTTAAATTTTTTGGTTCGCCAATGGCAATGCTTTGATACGGGCAAAGTCTCGGCTATAACAAAACATGGCCTTGGTACAATCACACTGTGGTAATTTATCTTCTCCTTAAGTATCACTGATCACGTGTCTTTTGGCGATACATTTCAAATCATTGCTTATATCTTGGTCAATTTTCCAGCGACGAGGGAGAAAAAGGAAAAAATCTCGAATTGATAACCGCCGCTTGTGTAACGCATTGGGCGAGCTCGTGCGCCTGGCAGAAATTTACCCACAATGCTCTGCACGTCCTTAGCTGTGACCCTCGAGTGACATATTTCCTTCCCTAAAATCCGTGCAGGGCCATCAGCCCTGCCCACCGCCCTGCTTGGGCGCTGTGCGACGAGCGACGCCGCCCCCTACCTACGACAAATCCTGGGTTCGCTGTTGCATTGTGTGGGAGACACTGAAGTGGGTAAATTTGAGTAAACACAATATTGTACTCAAACTCAGCAACGCAGAAAGCCACAGACAACTGCTGAGCTCCGCCGGCAAAGTGTCCATAGCATATATCCGTACGTGGTGGCTAGTAGAAGTAACACTAAATCCCAGACGTGGCCAGTATGACTTTCGTATCTCTCAGAGCGGCCAAGGTCGAGATGCATTCGACTGATAAACCCATGTACGTAGTCCGCTTTGCCATTGAAAGGTGGCCCTGACCAGTTTGAAAAAGACGGCACTCGCTACAACATTTGGTGGTGATTGGTTCAAGTGACAGCCGGTATTCAGGTTAGTTCAGGTATAGGCCTACATAATCTGACCAAGAGAAAGTCCAGTCCTTGCAACTTAAGCCCCCGTGAGCGCTTAGAGCAAAGCCCTAGAATCGCGTTTTTCTTCAGTTCAAGTTGGAAGCGTACTTGCGGATCAACATACCCAAACATAGGACAACACCGACTGGGTGACCTCTCCATGCCACAAGCATGCGTAGAGAACTGCGAGCTGGGTGCATAATATTTTTCAGTGTCGACTTTAATTTATGTAAATCATTCTTGATACTGGGATTCTGCGGTATTATCTTCATCCCGATTATAAACACAGGGTGCATATTTTCAATAGACTACACTATGTCAAATCAGACCTCTATGGTTAAATGAATCAGCGTCTGTTTTGCCGGCATGCCAACGCTACAGACTACAATAAATAAGGGCTCTGCATTAATTGTGTGCTGGTGGTGGTAAGGTACGTGAAACGATGTAGTCGTGCGCCCAACAAGTCTTTAGAGGATTCGGCTCAGTTCTACTTGGCTCACTTACTACAATTTATTTCGATATGCAAAGGAAAATATGGATGTGCACACTACGATGTCTATACAAAGAGTGGCTAGTCAAATGAGGGCGTCCAATATTTGAAAGGTTATTGTGAGGGCAATAAGTTACAATAGATATTAGATCAAGGAACTGAAGAGATATTTACGATAATGAGTTGGGCCACTGGAAATTAGAGAGATCTCTGTAAGAGGCAGTTAATGGGGATTATGACTTTGACCTGAACTTGTGACCTGTTTGCTGATCATGGTCAGGGCTGGGTACATGTGCATGTACATGTACGCAGATGTACATCTACTGTGCACTACAAGTCCTTTCGGCAGACCGGTCATACGTAACAGGGTCTTTTTTTCCCACAGATCATTTGAATGGCTTAAGAAGGGATATAAATTGTTTATGGATATGCAGGGAATTGTCTCAATAATTTTTGTTACCAGTTTAATTTCCAAGAAGCACCTCTTCGCTTGCTGGCAGAATGACACGCAGACGGTGGTCATATCGCAGGCCTCAGCGGGCTTCGGACGCGGTACATCCGCCCGAGGCAGGAGCTGCGGACGGCGGATGGGCGTGGATGGTGTGTTTGGGCGCCAGCCTCGGCCATATGTTAAACCCCGGTTACCTGTCCTCCCAGGGCGTCTTGTATATCGAGTGGAAGGAACACTTCGATACCTCGGCAACAACCAGCAGCTGGATCCTCACATTACCCTGGTTGGCTTCTTCTCCCTTTTGTAAGTACTTCCTAGAGTAAACATACAAACAAAATACAATATTTCTGCAACTATGTACTCTTCTTCAGCGTATGGAAACTGTTTTCATTTCCTTGATCCTATTTGGTCAAATGCACTGAAAAATTCCCTTTTTAATGTGCTTAAAAGCATGCTTGCTTTCCGGGACAAGTGAGGGCGCTGTTGTTATGATGTCATCCAGGGAAAACATAGTTCATTCACCTCCACTGCGTATACTTTTCAAACTGTGAGCGCAGAATTTACTCACTGTAAACATTTCTCAGAAACAACAAGGAAGCACGGAAGGAGAGAAAATTTAGTCCAGTTAAGTCTTTAAAAGGAGGAGTTTTTTATGTACAGACCAATGTAACATCAAGGCTTTCTTCCTAGGATGACATCACAGTTTTGCTCATGACTGCATGTATATGGAAATACTCATTGACCCCCCCCAAAAAAAGGTACGAAAATACCCTTTGAAGAAGTGTAACACAAATTGGACACGAAGGTTTGTATTAAAACAATAATTGCAGCTACCCTTTAAAGCCGTTGCATATAGCAACAGTCCCTTGAACTCAAGGTTTGACAAAAATGACAAATTCAGTCCTAGGCCACTCGTTATCAGTAAGCAGTACAGAAAAAACACGAATTTTGTATTTACATTTCTTCGGGAGAGTTGCCGTGTAGGTTTTTAAAGGGATTACCTGGATTAATGCATGTGTAATGAGCCCAAGCCTCCTTACGTGAAGGCATCTTAAAACCAGTCAGAATAATATTATGGTGAACCGCTTACACTGTACAGTTCGATAGTCTGTTTGCGTCGTTTCAGTGTAGGTAAACTGACACATATTTAATTAACTGCCGGTGAATCATCCCTTCATCCCAGGTCTCATTATGGGTATCTTGGCCCCACGTCTTGGCATTCGTAGATTGACCATGATTGGGGGCACGTTGGCCGGACTTTCAACAATTCTGGGCTCGTTCGCCACTGAGATGTGGCAACTCTACCTTTGTGGTATATCATCAGGTAGGAGACCGTAGACATTTTGTTACGTTCAGTTACGATTGAGGAAAGGAGCCTTCCAACGCTTGCAAAGGAAGACAAGAAGGGTTTATCTTAGAACTGAAACGTTTGAGTGGCCATCGGGCGTTTTACAATACTGCGCCTCCAAGAGTTAGCCAATCACAATGCACGAAATCTGCCGACCCAATGCGCGTTTGGAAAGGGCCAACAGATTTTGCGCATTGTGATTGGCCAACGAGTTCCAAACTCTTGGAAGCGCGCTATTGCAAATCTTCCCGATTGTCCTCTGATCGATGTGTTAACTATTTCGTGTGCTATCTTCGATGCAGGTATAGCCATGTCGATGATATTACCCTCCGGCAATATAATGATTACGAAGTACTTCAAGAAACGCTACGCTTTGGCCAATGGTTTAAACTTACTGGGTGTCAACGTGGGCCAGATGGTTTTCCCTCCGTTGATTCGCTTGCTGATCGCTAATTACGGGTGGAAAGGCGCCATGTTTATTCTTGGAGCTATTCAAATGAATTTAGTCGTGGCCAGTGCACTCTTCCGACCCTTAAAGGCAAAGCACACGAGTGACTTACGACGACAAACCAGCCTTGAGATGGAGGACATTCGGAGTGGAGGAGGTACAAGATCAGAAGGCCAGAATTTCCTGTTTCTCAAAGTCTTAACCCGTGTCCCGTTTACACTGAGTCTAGCATTACTCTTCTTATATTCCATGGCGTGGACGATTTATCTCTCCCATCTCCCATCGCGAGCCAAGGAAGCCGGCTGGTCCGAAGACCAAGGCGCCATGCTGTTGACGATCTTCGCTATCATTGCCATTCTGACGAGGACGACACACGGCTGGTTCGTAGACAGAGGGTACATCGGCAGCTTTCAGCTCGAATTCGGTGCCCTTTCAGGCGCTGCTCTGGCGAGTTTCCTGAATCCGGTATCAGACAGTTATGGTTACCTGGTCGGCTGTTCGGTTCTGCTGGGAGCCAGCTTGGGAGTTGCGTCCCCTCTTATGATCGTCATCATCAAGAGGCTGGTCTCTGATGCTGACATCCCAGCATCTATGAGCTGGTTTGTGGCTGTGTTCTCCTTCGCTCAAGGAACCGGCTCGGTGGTCGCAGGTACATTTGAAATTTACAAGATTGAGAATGCTGCGCCAAGAGTCCTAAAGAGTTCTCGAAAACACGAAGTTTTGTTAAAAGACTAGACAAAGTGAGTCTTAACTACGAAGGTCTCCATCTTCTTGAAAAGGGTCTGGTTCCTTAAGTAAGACATCTAAGTATGGTAAAATCAGTAGTGAAAGTCACTTGGTTAACAACCAATCGTTTACAAGGCCGTTGACAAAGGCTTTCGCTTGTGGTTCAAGTTGAGACTAAAACATCCTCAAAGTACAATCACATTCCCCGGGGGAATTCAAAAGAACTGGAGAAGTTTAGTCTACTGAAGGAGGGTTAGGTACAGTTTGCTTGATTGTAAATTTGGTATTCGTCTTGTCTTAACTAAATTCTTCGGAATGACAAGAGTGGTTGCCGGACGCCAGATAACAAAGAGAACAGAAACCGAACCAATCAGCCGCATCACTTTTTTAAATATTATTCTAATCTAATGGAGAAACGGGGACTGTTCAAAAGGGAAAGTTAGTGTATTCAAAGCAAACGGAAAAACACGATACGTGTTAAATTTATACTTAACAAATGCACGAGATAAATGAGATAAATCTTTTCCTCGTTGTTTCTGCATCAAATCCGGACACAGAAGAAAAGTTTCCTTTTTAGGGAATTACTGTAGATTAGTCTATTGAAAGTCAAGTGACGGGAAAAGAGGATCCGATACGTCCTGTGAAAAGTAGCAATGAGCTGATTAGTTTAGGCTTCGACAACAATGCCTAGCAATAACAGACAATATAAGAAATTCCACGTGGCGGGGAATTCATTGTGTTGACTTGTACAGTAAATTTAAAAAGAGAAAGAATGCGTTCTCGAATTATTCCCAACGGTTTCTGCTATAGGACCGAAACTTTTACACCTATATTTCAGGTCGCTGTAGTCTACTAGCGGATCGCAACTCTGTTTTTATCTAATATATCTGGCTTTCACACAAAATAAGAAGTTTATTTGGGATGCCAACCGAACCTAAAGAACTTGTGTAAACGGAACACGTACATGAGGTATGACGTAGAATATTCTTTCTTTTGTCCCAGGCAACATTTATGACTTAACAGGCAGCTACGTGGCAACCTACCTGACAGGCGGCGGCTTCTTCGCAGCATCGTTGTCATTGCTGGTACTCGTCTTCATCCTCAAGAGGCGCCAAACGGGCGTGCCAATTGGTCGAAAAGATCCAGCTCCACCAGGAGATCCTGAAGTGCAGGGACAAATTACACAGAGCTGTATATAGAGAGAGTAGCGCCAACTTCAGACTTTGGCACCAAAATGGCGGTCCATTGTGTGCGCAGTACATACAACATGATAATCCAACATTTTGGTTCCAACAATTGAGACACTCAGCTGATTTGTTCTTTGTTAGAGGGAAGAATAAATTCAGAAAGCCACACATAGATTAAGTGGTTCGTTCTTCGTAGGAGCTACCTAGTAATTAAACCACACGTAGTTAGAGTAATTGGTTCGTTCCTCGGGGCGAGGAACAAAACAAGTCGCATGCGTAGGAGAGGCTTCATCACGTGTGGGATCAGCCAAGTGTGGGTGTGTGCCGAGGATTTAGGGTGGCGTCGGCGTTTACTGCTCATGTGTATGGCAGTGAAAAGGTCTTTACCACACGTTTTCACCGTGAACTAGTGGAATAAGCCATTTGCGAGTTAAATTTGAATAAAATCTGGTACACTGAGTTCTTTAAATTCACATGATTATAACAACTTGAATTCTCCATACCAAAACCACGGTTGCTATACCTCGTGATTCGGGGTAAGCTTTTGCTTAGTTACATAAGAGACGCCTTGGAACAATATACTGTTCTCAATGGATAAGAACAGCACAAAGGAACCAGTCCATTCCAGAGATGGTGATCGCTATGCGAAAGTTTTTAAATTGTTCTACTTGATATAAGTCTTCTTTTTATAACCGGGAAAACTCATCTTTAATAATAGAAATTGATCGAATTCAGCAACGCTGATTTTTTTTTCGGTTGAAAAATTAAATAATTTCTGGGTTATTTAGAACTACACATCACATGAAATTTTCTGAAGCAAGATGCAAAATCAATGCTACGGAAAAATAAATGATTAAAACCATCCTATGCTAAGATGCATTCTTGACACAGTTGTCATATCAGTCAAAATCAGTCAAATTTCCCATATGTGTCTGTGTACTGGGGAAAATCAATTGGAAGGCATTTTTGACTGATTTTGACGGTTAAAACAGAAGGAGGGAAATAATTATTAATGTTATTTGGATTTGTCATGAACAATTGCATTATTTATGCTCGGTTTCCTGGAAATCCACAAAGAAAACGTCGCCTTATTTTGCCATAAATCAGGCACAGTCTGTTGCTATGCTGTTGTTAAGCGCAATTCTTGCGCACGCGCACTTTGGCAATGAACGCTCTGAAAGCTAAAGGGGGACAAATGCTCACATGACCCTACCCTGGCACTTTGCAAAGTCTGTATAGTACGATTTACGTGTACACGAGCTATGCAAACATGAACGTGACACGCACTGTACATGTACAGTACGTGCTCGCTCCGTGGTTGTGCAACGTTACTCGTGTAACTACCGTCGCACATTAGACGGGGCCAGGTTGACTATGCTAACTCTCAGAGCAACCAAGGTCGATATGCTTTCGACTTTTAAACCGATGATTGCAGTCTTTGCCGTTGAAAGGCCATGAAGGTGGCCCTGGTCTGTTTTAAACTCAGTACTCGCTGCTAAATTCGGTGGTGGTGACAGCCGTTATGCAGGTTAGTTTGTGTAGGCCTACATAATTTGACAAACACGAAGTCGTGTCACCATACATATAGTGGTTTAAACTTTAAATCTTAGAGTACGGTCCCAGGCTCTAGCAGTGTTTTTGTTCAGTTCAAGTTGGAAGTGTACTTGCCGCGGATTAACATACCCAAGCGCATGACTTCACCGACTCGGTGACCTCTCCATACCACAAACATACCCAGAGAACTGTGAGCAAGGTGCATGATTTTTGTAACCAATGCTGACTCTAGTTTATGTGAAATTAATCATTCTCTTCATACTGCGATTTTGTGGTATCATCCAGATCATAATTTAACGCAGGACGCATGTCAATAGGCTACAGCATATGGATGCGGCATGTCAAATTGGGCTTCTTTGGTCATATTAATTAGAGTGTGTCCAACAGTACCGATTGCAACGCCAATTTACTCTACAAACTGCAATATACAGATAAGAAGAGCACTGTTAATCCAAGGTCACGCTCATAATAATTGCAAATTTAGGTCCCCAGTCTTTTGTTTTCCCTTACTGATGCAAGGTAACTATTATAACAAGGTAGTTTTTAAAGTCCCGAGGACCATGTTGTAGAATTTATTCCGTAGTAGTCGGACAATGGTGAAAACTCTCGAGGCAAAAGGTATGTGGAATAAGAAAGTAAAGGGGCGAAGTAACTTCATATAAATTTCGACTGTGGTGCGAAGCGGATATCCGCTTTTTTTTGGTGTTTTTTTATGGCGGTTCATTCAACAATGTCAGGTACACCATTTTCTGATTGGCTGAGGTTGTAAACGTAAGCAGGAAAAGAGGGGTGAATGCATGGTTCCTGATGAAAAGTTTTAAACTCATAAGTTTTGGATAGTGAACAAGATTGGGCAGTTTTTGGAAATGGAAAATGTTGTAATCGAGCCCCCTAGCGACAAGTCCTTTCACCAGACCAGTCATAAGGTCACAGTTTCTTGGTCACACTTCATTTGAATGGCTCATTAAACTGGTTATGAGTAGAATATGCAGGGACTTGGGACAGACTCGCTGGACGGCAACACAATGAGGATGTGATTGTTATCACCGAGCCCCCTATTTTTGTTACCAGCGTTATTTCCGAGAAACACGTACCTCTTCGCTTGCTGGCAAAATGACACGCAGACGTTGGTCGTACCGCAGGCCCCGGCGGGCTTTGGACCCGGTACATCCGCCCGAGGCAGGAGCTGCGGATGGCGGATGGGCATGGATGGTGTGTTTGGGCGCCAGCCTCGGCCACATGTTAACCCCCGGTTACCTGGCCTCCCAGGGCGTCTTGTACATCGAGTGGAAGGAACACTTCGATACCTCGGCAACAACTAGCAGCTGGATCCTCACATTACCCTGGTTGGCTTCTTCTCTCTTTAGTAAGAACTTTTAAGTAAATGTGTTTACAAGTCAGTTCTTTTAACTTGAGGCTTAAATTATTGGCCCCTTAAATTATTGTGAATGATTTATGTCTTCGCCTCAGGTCTTATCATGGGTCCTGTGGCCCAGCGTTTCGGCATTCGTAGATTGTCCATTGTCGGGGGAGCAGTGGCCGGAGTTTCAACTATTCTGGGCTCGTTCGCCACAGAGATTTGGCAGCTTTACCTTTGTGGTATATCATCAGGTAGGAGAGCTCAGACATTCTTTAAGTTCAATTGATGTTTGTGAAAAAGAGCCGTCTGACGCTTACGATAGAAAGACAAGACGCCTGTACGCTAAAACTGAAATGTTGAACGCCCACAAAAAATGTTATACTCTGATCAAAGTGTTATCTATTTCTTGTGGTGTCTCCAATGCAGGTATAGCCATGTCGATGATATTACCCTCCGGCAATATAATGATTGCGAAGTACTTCAAGAAACGCTACGCTTTGGCCAACGGTTTAAATTTACTGGGTGTCAACGTGGGCCAGATGGTTTTCCCTCCGTTGATTCGCTTGCTGATCGCTAATTACGGATGGAAAGGTGCCATGTTTATCCTGGGAGCCTTTCAAATGAACTTAATCGCAGCCAGTGCGCTCTTCCGACCCTTAAAGGCACGACCAGCCAATGACTTACGACGACAAACCAGCCTTGAGATGGAGGCTATGCGGAATGGAGGAAGTACAGGATCAGAAGGCCAGGATGGTGCCGAGGAGAATTTCTTATTTCTCAAAGTCTTAACTCGTGCCCCGTTTACACTGAGTCTAGTAGTGATCTCCTTATATGCCATGGCGTGGATGATTTATCTCTCCCATCTCCCATCGCGAGCCAAGGAAGCCGGCTGGTCCGAAGACCAAGGCGCCATGCTGTTGACGATCTTCGCTATCATTGCCATTGTGACGAGGACGACACACGGCTGGTTCGTAGACAGAGGGTACATCGGCAGCTTTCCGCTCGAATTCGGCGCCCTTTCAGGCGCTGCTTTGGCGAGTTTCCTGAATCCGGTATCAGACAGTTACGGTTTCCTGGTCGGCTGTTCGGTCCTGCTGGGCGCCAGTTTGGGTGTTGGGTCCCCTCTCATCATCGTCATCATAAAGGGGCTGGTCTCTGATGCCGAGATCCCGGCATCTATGAGCTGGATCGTGGCAGCGTTCGCCTGCTCTCAAGGAACCGGCTCGGTGGTTGCAGGTACATTTGAAATTTACAAGTTTCAGAATGCTGTGTGCCAAGAGGCCTGAAGGCACTCCAAAATACAAAGTTTTGTTTAAAGACTTGCACAAAGTGAATCTGACTACGATGGTGTCCATCTTCTTAAAAAGTCTTTACTTAATTTTTGGAATGACAAGAGTGGTACATTGGTTGGACGCCGGATAACAAACTGGTTGAGAGAAGAGAAATCGAATCAGTGATCTGTAACACTTTTTTTTACTTCATTATTATAATCAAATGGAGAAATGGGGATTGTTTAAAAGGGAAAGTGAATGTGACTATTCACTGCAAAAGAGAAAACACGTCATGCACGTTGAATTTAAGCACTACAAATGCACGAGATAAAAATTTCCTCGCTGCTTCTTCATCGGATCAGGACGTAAAAAGAATGTTTCCTTTCCAGTGGTTCAAACTGGAAACGAAGCTGAAAAATGAAGAAACCACCTGATATGGGGGCTGGCGCCTCCTCGGATCAGTGTACTGAGAGTCAAGGGCATGGGAGGGGGGAGATGTCTCAGTCTACCATATTGAAAGTCGCCAACAATTACATCAGCTGATGAGTTGGCTTCGACAATGTTGCCTATCAATAACTGACAATATCGGAAATGCCAGGTGGCAGGGAATACCTGTATTTACTTTACAACAAATGTAAAAAGAGATTTGACTTTGGTAGAATGTGTTTACACTATCCCCCTGACGGTTACTGTTGTAGGATTGAAACTTTTTCAGAGCTTAATAGACACGTATTTCAGGGAATGAAACGAGGTAGGCGGCATTTGTGAGACCATCAGGCATCAGCCATTAATAGGCCGATCCATTAAGCCCCACCAATAGTAGGGCCTGCAAAAATTCCCCCAGTCGAAAAAGTGTGTGGGGGGAGGGGCGCACTGGCCAGTGATTTCAGGCCTCTACGAGCGAATTGCGACTTTGTAATCTTTTTTTTTAATTCTGGCTTTCACACCAAAAAAAGTTTATTTGAAATGCCAATTGCACCAAAATAATTTATGTAAACAGAACAGGTACAGGAACAATGACGTAGAATGATCTTTGTTTTGTCCTAGGCAAAATTTATGACTTAACGGGCAGCTATGTGGCAACCTACCTGACAGGTGGCGGCTTCTTCGCAGCATCGTTGTCTCTGCTGGTACTCGTCTTCATCCTCAAGAGGCGCCAAACGGGCGTGCCAATTGGTCGAAAAGTTCCAGCTCCACCAGGAGATCCTGAAGTGCAGGGACAAATTACACAAAGCTGTATATAGAAAGAGTAGCGTCAACTTCAGACTTTGGAACCAAAACCAGTACGACATGCAACTATTTTGGGTTAATTGTCAATTTGCACTGACGTATAATCCACCATTTTGGTTCCAACAACAGAGACACTCATGTCGCAACTTTTATACACGGCTCTGAAATTACAAGCCCAACTACCCCCTCTAGCTGTGAGAATGACTGACGTCACTGGACTAAATGAATGGCCGTCGCCATTTTTACACTTTACTACGATATATGAAAAGGGAGAGTCTTTTGCTCACGACGGATATTCCTTTCCTGACAGTTTATCCTGGGAAGGATCGTTTCCTTCTAGTTTTCTTTCCTATATCTCTATGGGTAATTTTCCCCTTCTTATGTTCTGCCCAATGAGGAAAGGGTTCATTCAATTGAACAGCGGACATGGCAACGACTTTGTACCGACTTAGGATGTACGGTATAGCGAACAGTAGCATATCCAAGTCCAGCACATCAAGGCCAGCCCCCCCTATCGAAGCTGTTTTTTCAAACAGTCCCAATGAGAGAAAGAGTGAATTTTGAATCATCTCATTTGCCTTCCTTTCAAAACATGTAAAATCCCAAGAAAGTCCAAAGAAAATTAAACGAATAAATCCCCCCCCCAACATTTGGCCTCCGAAATTTGGATCCATCCTTCGGGGGTTGGGGGTATAGCTAATCGGGCTCGATTTTAAAACGAAAAACAAGGTGAAGGGAGCACAGTAAGATGAACCAAGTCAGCGCGAAATCCTGCTAGAGGCAGGAGATCACTCGATCGGAGCGACCCCAAGGCTAAAAGTGTAGGTCCGTTTTGGAGGAAACATAACGCCAATTGTGACTAAGTGTTAACGATGTTGAATACACGATGGGCCCAAGCCTGCTAAGAAAAACCTTGATGACCGTGGAATTGGCGGTACAGGATAAATAATGTATTCTAAAATAACAAACAAATGAAATGTGAAGTAATGTGATTAGGAAGGTTGATTTATTACTTGGGACATGTATTTTATTTGGAGTAGCCCTAAAATTACCCATTTCTGCAACAGGGTTAAACATGTCTTTTGCTACCTCACATGCGCAAAATATTTGCCAATCATGGTTTATTTATAAAGTTCTATTCAATAACATATTAAATAGATAATCAATCGACATTTACTTCCACAATGCCACAAGTTAATAATACAATACAGCAAAATGAATTAATAAATGTGATGTTATACAAAGATAGATACAAATAGTAAATGTGTATTCACCACTAAATAGAAATGCCCTGATTTTAAAACTGAAAATGCAAAATGTGCATCGCGAGGCAGGAGTTGTAGCCAACCAAGACTGGATTTTCTATAAACTTTGGCCGTATATACAAACTGGCCCATTCGCCTTTAGAAGCACCTAAATTATAGCCATGTTGAGGAAAGTGTTCTTATTGTTGGTTGCGATATAATCACAACGCATGCATAACATGAGAATTGTGCCTTTTCCCTGTCCGACTTGGGGCGGATAGCTACTGTTGAAAGTGTAGCCGCAACGAATTTTTTTACACTCCCATGTGATTAAATGCATTGAAAAGTGCACTCTTCTAAACGTTTAAAAATATCCATGCTTTCCTGGACAACTGAGGACGCTGTTGCTGTGATGTAATCTAGGGAAGACATCGTTCATTGCATTGGGTTTTCTGTTAATACATGTATTGTGAACCCAGAATCTACTCACTGAAAACATTACTTATTGCTACGCACATAACATCAACGAATCATGGACGAAAAGAACATTTAGTCCAGCAAAATCTACAAAACTGCATGACTTTTTATACAAACCGATGTAACATTTAAGTTTTCTTCCTGGGATGGCATCACAGTTTTGATAATGAATATGGAAATAATCATTTGTATAAAGACCTAAAAGGCAGTAAAATACCCTTAGAAATAATCAACAACAGTTGAAAATAGGTATAATAGAGACAAAAAGGTACATTTTGAAGGTTCATATTAAAACAAATTGAATGCAGCTACCCTTTAAGCGACAGGTTATTCATTTGATTATGGATATGTACATTACTATGTGCACATGTATCATGACCACTGTGACGAAAGTTCGACTTATTTAAAGCCATGTTTCCATCGGCCTTTTTTTGGGTAACTTACCGGGACTTTCCCGTAGAATTACAAAATTAAATTCAATGGGAATGCACGGTAACGTAACGTTCCTCTCAAATTAGACTGTATAGGGGAAGTCCCACATTGAGCAGTGTCACAGTTGGAGTGCACGCGGACCGTGTACAGATGAGATGTGATTGGGTGCACGGTGTCCAGCATTGCCGTGTGCTTCAGGAAGCGAGCGTGGGAACGTCAGTAGTAGTTGTGTGTGTGTGTTTAGGGCCCATCCGGGACTGGAAACCCCCTATTGGTTCAGAGCTTGTGTTACAGTTATAAAAGCCGTTCTGGAATGAACAGCACAGCCAAATAAGATAACTTCCAAGCAGTTCCACATAGATGTATAAACTGTGCATCTGCATATTACATCCACATTACAGGTGTAATATGCGAACGTGGGTGGTGCTGTGAAGAGATGCCGTAAGTATAGCATTGCTCATTTTGCTCTTTTCATTGCTCATTTTGCTCTTTTCATTGCTCAGTTTGCTCTTCAATTCCCATTTTGCTATTGTCAATGTTCATTTAAAGTCAAACACCTTGTAATTGCGCTCCTTTAAAAGATTAGAAGCGAGTTGACGGAGCTGCAACCGCACTTGTGGCCAAATGAATTGCAAAAAAAGACGATTTGATTGAACAGGTTCGACTAATGTTTCGTTTGTTTAGGTGTCATTTCTTGCAAATCATTTTGCCACAGAAGTATAAGAGTTGCAGCTCAGTCAACTCCCGGAAGTCTAATCTAGAGAGGCACAGGGAAAATATCCACGCTGAAGAGGAATCAGACATGAACAAGGTTGACATTGATTCGGAACCTGTTGAGGAGGTTGATAACGAAACCCCGTATGAAGATACGTGCAGTTCAGAATTGGAAGACAATGCCACCTATCAAGATTGGCTGACTGAGGCCAGAGAAACAAATATGCAGATGTGGGATGAACAATAAGACAAGTACGTCAACAAAGGCATGGATGAATATCAAGCCAGGCAAGAAAAATGATGTGAAAGACTCTCCTGTTTTCAGTTGAGGGGATGTACCGTTGCGTTTGTTATCGTGCGCGCGTGTAAGAGCGCGATGTACGCGCTCCTTATTAGCATTAAGCGATACGATTAAGAATTACGATATTGTGGGGAAATAATGTGTAATTGTATGCTGATACATGTATGTTCTTAGGTGGCGCCGGTTGGAGTGGTCGTTCACAATTTGTTGCGATTTTGCCTTGCTTCCAAACCCAATAAAGCACAAGCAAGAATGCATTTCAGAAGTTGTCAATCACGACATCATTCTTCATTAGTGATGCAAACCAACACTGAAAACGGATTAAGCTGGTGTGATCCGACGCGCTGCTTGATAAACTATCGGCTTCCCTTGATCATGCGCTCAACCAAGGACGGTGGTAATGGTTATAATAAAACAAAACGAACACAGCTCAAGTTCAGCTTCAAAGAACATTTTATTTAAATTACATCTAAAGTGAGATTTACACAAAATCAGTTGGGGAGAACAATTTAAATACCCGCATGTCGAGGTAACAATGCGTGCCAGACAATGAATTCTGATAAGCTTAGCGCGCTGTACAATAAAGCGAACGGAAGGTTATTAAATAATTCTCAACAATCCCCTCAGGGTGAATTGTCAATATCCCGCCTTCTGTCAGGCAATTAGGCCTGTTATGACTTTAGAAATTATGTAGTTAACGGTCCAAACCAGCAGACTCTCCTCTGAGGGGGCGACATGGTCAGCAGGAGAGTTTGCTAGGGGAAAATGAGCAAAGGGCAAGTCGGCTAGGGGACGACTAGGCCAGGGGGCGAATTGACTAGGGGGCGAGTCGGTAAGGGGCGAGTCGGCCAGTGGGCGAGTTGGCCTACAATCCTGTTGTGAATTATAACTGTAAACAATTTAGTCAACCGTGTAGAAACGTAGTCTGCCACACAGCGAGGTTGTCAGCGATACAGCGAGGTAAGTCAGCCTTGCACGTGAATGGCGGCCCAGCCATACAGCAGGTTCAATAAATAAAAGTTCACCCAATACATTTCATATGTTATTGCCATTTCTTGATCTGGTCAGTAAATCAGAAATACATTGAGTCCCGAGATCAGGTGTCCCGCCGTTCGTATTTTGTGACTTATTCAGCAGGTTCAGGCAATCAATTCCTTCAACGGTATATTTCCACCAAAACTAACCTGTCCTAGCCCTGAGACTGCTTTGGTACGGTGGTCTTTGGACCCAGGAAGAAATTGGGTTCAGCAAATTTCGCCCCATCACATAGCGTGCAATATGCAAGTACAAAGCGTAATGGACTGCATTGTGTTTGGTATCCACGACTCTGCGTGTGTGCGCACGCCTTCCATTGGTGGATGTGTGACATGTAGAGAATCGTTGTGCGCAGGCGCAGGCTAGGAACACAATAAAACAGTCCATCCTGGGATTTGCAACAGGCATCACATATAACGTCAACCACAACGCCAACTGCTTACTGGCTTGGTGTCCAAGGCAAGCCAACTCCAACAAGTCCACTGTACAATAGAGATCAAGGCAACAACTCACCAACCAACCACGCCAGCCCAAGCTTGTCCCATGAACTCCTTGACTTGATTACAAGGCGTTAGATAGTTGTATTTGTCCGCGAACATCCGTCGAAATACATCGGCTCGGTTCTGATTTAATGTAAGTAATATAGTTGGCCAAGTTTGGACTTATCTGACGACATAGTCAATACGTTCTCGCACTGTAACCACACGTTCCCCGTAATATACATGCAATGCATTTCTGCAGTGAGGTGTAATGCGCAGGACTTTGCAAATAAGAGGATTCACTCAGTTAAAAGAAATAGCTCTTTTAAGGCAGTGTACACCATCGGTAAAATCCCCCAAATCGGACTGCCGTATAATCCTGTAATATCTTAATTGACAGTACATAACAGTCTTATCAGTCTGTAAAATATTTCCGCCCAGACTGCTGTAGTTTTAGAGAAAACATAAATATTGGTCTCTTTTTTTACTTCTTTAACAGTCGCCAATTTTCTTGTGTGTAGTGTTTGCATGTTTTGGGAGTCTCGGATAAACCTGAAAACAGCTTCAAATATACCGACAGGGATTCACCAAAGGCATCATACACTGAAATTATGGAAGCTGAGTGTAAGGTGTAAAGTAGGGAATAAATTTGATCAGTGGGAAGTTAAATTTTAATTAAGGAAATGGTTTTCTTCACATGAAAACTTTTCAAATTCAAAATCACCCGTAGAACAGAATGGCATGATCCAAATATGGTAGCTGTTTCCGAGCAGCAGGCCTGGTGAAAGAGATTTTCGTCAATAAAAAGTACGATTTCTGCACTTTAACCCCCCCCCCATGTTTGAAGATATAAATTGTTCTCTGCTGATAACTGCTTATAAGTATTAGTGAATCAACTGAGAATGGACTTAACGTGAAAATATGGCACAGGGTTTTGGTGTTATGGTCGTTTTGGAGTTGATGGGCCCGCATGGCCTTTATGGATTGAGTACGTCAGTGGAAAAAATACATTTGCAGCTGACCCGTCTCGGCTCGGAAAACATGTCTGTTGCCCGAGAACGGCATGTCTGATTTTTCACAGTCATTTTGATGTCAAAAAGACTGCGAGACGTTACAAATTGCTACAGCTCGGCGTGTGCAAAAATGTACTGCGACGATAGTGAAAAAAGGGGGGGGGGTGCTCGGCACCGGGCTTGTTTGAGTTAAGCCTTCGTTCCAACTAATCCTAGAACTTTTTTTTTCAGCACAAGGCACCCCCGATCTCGCCCAACGTACTACAGTCTCGTCGATTTTCGAACTAGTTTTGTCACCAGTAAT